TGACAAATTAGCAGCCCTTGGGCCAAATCTGTTTGTGGTTCCCTTTTGTTTAGACAGTGCAGCTACTGTTTTTAAAATTTGAAATGGTTCGGGAAAAGAAAACATACATTCTTATATACATACATATATACATTCATATATATAGAGAAAATAAATATGCAAAATAGTCACAATTGTTTAATTGAAGAGTTTCATTCCTTAGAACAAGTTAAGGACAATACACGCTGATGAAATTCCCCACGGCCCTGCAGTGGACAGAGAAGCTCTCTTCAAGTACCTCCCAGCAGCTCAGTAACTTTGGCAAGTGTATTGTACCTTCTTTCTAAGATAAAGGTGGAGCCTTTATCCCAGAGTATAACATGAAGAATTTTATGATTCTTTATGGCTCTTGTAGTCTCTCCGGCATCAAAGGTGAAAAGGGTAAGAAAGTAAGATATTCCAGAAACATCAATGGGCCAGTGGAGTAAAGTAATATATCAGGGATATAATGTATGAGATAACTGGCTGTTACCTGTGCCTGCACTTGGCAGTGAAAAAGAACCCATTGAGGGTGCATAGGCACCAGAGAGTTTGCAGCCAGTAAACCGTTCCTCTTGAGACTGATCGATTCTTAGCTCCTTAGTGTCCAATGACACTGGGGGGACTGAAGCTGCTTCCTGTGAGCATTTGCCTAGCCATATTCAGTGACATGACAGGTGCTTTCTTTGCAAATGCTGGTTTTCACACCCACAGTTCTCACACTAAACAAATCCTTGATCCCGGCCGCCCCCAGCTTGGTTATTCTTGTACACACCATACAGCATGAATTCATCCAATTGTTTAGCAGGCAAAACAGGCTTAGAAGGAACAGGCAGATAGCCAGAGGCAAGCGGTGTCCATTGGGAGATAAGCTGAGGGTGGCCTCTAAGAAGGAAATGAAGGCCAAGACCAGACAATTAGCTGCTAAATTATGACCCAGGGACAAGGACAGTACTTCTCATGTATAGTGCTCAAGAGGAAAATCCCTACTGGAAAAATGTAGATCAATAAAGGTAGATAGGGGGGAAAGGACATCCATAAAACAATGATGAGAGCGTGTCATCAGCCAAGGTTATGATTAGTACTTGCTGACAACAAGTTATCAAATTCCCAGGTTTCCTCATTTCATTTGGCCTTAACTCCATTTTCTCTGATACAATTCTGGGTGGCCAGGACCACCCACATACCAAGAAAGTTCCAGGCCTAGGAAATCACAATCACTTTCACCCTTAGTTCAGGTGAGAACTGATTAATTCTTTTCTCAAAAAGAAAACAATATGAAAGATGAGAAACCAACGTGGTGATAAAACTGATTTCTTACCCCAGGTTTTCCAGGGTACAGGCTGATCTCAGTGGTCCACAGCTAAGGAGTCCCATTTCCCCATGCTTCAGCTCAGTCTTGGAAGTGGCCTGCATTTAAACGTTCCCTGAGCTTGAGCTGAGGTCAATCTATGCAGCAGCCCTGCTAGGTGTAGTAGAATAGAATTAGGGGCGGGAGAGGGAGTCTTCATGAAACGCATTTCCAGACCTGTTTGGATAAGAGCATCAAGCCCTCTCTTCAGACCCAGTTATCTCCTTGGCGAGAGAGGCCAATTCTGCTGACTGGGCTACCTGGTCCCTGGACCCTACCCAGGCTAATGGAGGCTTGAGGAAATGTCCGACCTTCTGCACCAGTAAATCCTAAAAACTGCTGGGAGGGAGGAACTGAGCAGTGCCATTGAGAGGGCTGTGGGTAAGTGAAGGTTTCTGATCAGTGACCTTTCGTCTACCATTAAAAGACCCAGAAATCTGCCCAGCTAGTGGAAGAGGCATGTCTAAAAATTAGTGCTTCCTCTGTAACAGGAGATTGGTTAAATGAATCATGGCACATCCATACAATGAGATGCTGTGTATAATGTTATAAAAGAAAATTGACATGAAAAATGTCCACGATATACTATTAGGTGAAAAAGCAGGTCACAAGGCAGTATAAAGAATGTGATTCGAGCTCTGAGCAACAGCGGTTCGAGTCCAGCCCGAGCTGAGCAGCTGCTGAGTTGCCAACAGGTAGCAGGATGGCTCAGCTTAAAAAAAAAAAAAAAGAAAAAAAGAATGTGATTCCATTTAGGTTAATAAATTATACATAATAACTAACATTTATTGAGTTTCAAATATGAGTCTATATATGAGCAAGGCACTAAGTAATGTAAGTGCTTTACATTAATTATTTTATCCTCCTGACAACCCTGTGATGTAAGCAGATATTATACTCATCCTTTTACAGATGAGGAAACCGAGGCTTTAAGAGGTTAAGTAAGTTTGCCATAGTTCACCTAAGTGGCTGAGCTGAGATACAGGCCTATATATGTTGAACTCAAGACCCCAAACTCTTCTCAGTGACACTATCTATATTTGTGCAGAAAAAGGTCAAGAATGCGCAATACCAGGATATTGACAGTTAAGTGTGGTTTTTTTCTGGGTGGTGAGATTATGAGTGACCTTTGCTCCTTTTATTCTTTTCTCAGTAGTCTGATATTTTTTATTTACATGGATTATTTTTATAATCAGGAAAAACAATAAATCAATTTACATTTTGAAAAAAGCAAACAAGCCATTGTTTCCAATCTCGAGGCAGCAAACTGCTAGAGTCTGGGGTCAGTGATTTTATTACAAGGGTTCTGTAAATTCCTACATGGCATGTCTAGAATGAATAAGTAATGTGCTTGTATATGTTCTTTTTCAAATGTCATCATGTATACTGCCATGATGTATACCCACAGTCCTTTACTTTATCATATATTCATCAATCAGTGGATAGTAAAAATACAGCTACTATCAAGTGGAAGTCCATGGCACTTTAAGTATTAAAAAACAAAAACAAGGGATCAGATCTGCTGCTGAAAAGAAAAATACATGTATGGATCATGTCTCCGTAGTGAGTGTCTTCTCAACAACTTATCGCTTTTTTCAGGAGGGCAGGAGGAAAGAGAGGAAAAAAACTGAAAAAGCACACATTATTGAAAGTTCACCCAGGAGAAGTCCCAGAGAAGGCAGTTTACAAGGATAGAGAGAATGGAGAGGGAGTTGATGTAGGTCCAGAAAATTCTATTACGGAAAGACAGAATGCTAATCTCCCCTGCAGTGCCAGGCGCTGGCCTCCAGCCTCAGCCACAGGGATGTCAACACTTGAGTGGGGTGGAGATGCTGCAACACCTGAGTACTAATATTTACTGGAGGGCCAATCAGCAGAAACATCTAGAGTGTGAAGGGCCCCCAGGTGTAAGGGAGGCAAAGTATGCAGAATTTTGTCTTTTGCCAAACTGACTCAAAGGTCAGCACCTGCCTTCTTTCCCCTTATTCTTCTTCCCTTTTGTAATGTGTCCCTTGCCCTCTATTTCTGTGTAGCTTCTTGTCCCTCACTCACATGACTCCAGAACACATGACTCCATAGGACACATGACTCCATAGGACTCCCGTGATCTCATTACCCATATGACACCATCCTGCTCACTGACCCCAAACTAAGACACTCACTCACTGAGGGCCTGGGACTTTCCAGGCATTAGGGGCAAATGCACTGACAATAAGATGTGGTCCTCGCCCCTTTAGAAGCATACAGTCTTCAGGTGTGAAAAGCAAAACGCAAACAAAGAAAACCACACCCAAAACAAAACAATTCCACAACTTAATTTGCTTCAATGGGCATAAAGTTTCAACCAAGTAAGAGCTAGGAGTCAGAGAGAGGCGTGGGGCCTTTGCTTCCTCCCCCTTTCCACTTTGGCCTGATTTGGGGACACAAGGGGAAGCTGCATGACAAGCATAGGAAACTCTCTGTATTATCTTTGCAACTCTCCCATAAATCTAAAATTATTCCGAAGTAAAAAGTTTCAAAAGAAGAAAAGTTAAGAAATATCCATTTTTTTAATGGACAAGACTAAACCATAGTCATTAGGGAAGTACATTTGAGTAGTAAAACCACAGAAAGGTAAGGAAAACATTACCCTAAATGTCAGGATAATGGTTCCTTTGGGAAAAGGAAAAGGGTTGTGATTGAAATGGAGCACATGGAGAGGCTTCTGGGGTGGGTGGAAAAGTTTTATTTCTTGGCCTAGTGGTGACTGCAAGGTGTGCCTTATGATTCATTAAGCCACACATTTGTTACACAGCTTTCTATATCTGGGTTTAATTTTAAAATCAAAAAATTAAAGAGGGAGAGAGAAAGAGACAGGTTTAAGAGACAACATTGAAATAGAATCAGTGGACCTTGTTTGCATCTTCATTCAAATTAACCAACTATAAAAAAAACATTTGAATATAGACTGGATATTAGATGTTATTAGAAAATTGTTGAATTTGTTAACAGTGATAGTAGTAGTATTATTATGGAAGAAAAATTTATATTTTTGTATAGATGCATAGTGAAGTGTTTAGGGGTAAAGTGATGTCTTAGAATTGGTATTAAAATACTCCAAGAAAAAAAAAGAGTGGGAAGATACAGGAAACAAGTCCAGCAAAATATTAATAGTTCAAAGATGAACACAAACATAAAAATGTGTTACATTCTCTAGTTTTGTGTGTGTTTGGAAATTTTTATAATAGAAGTTAAAAGAGGGAGACAGCCCCAAACCAGGCTGCCTCAGCTCAACAGTCTCAGCAGAGACCCAATCCAAGGTGCTCCCCACACCACACACTCCCAGCTGTCTCCCTATAGCCTCAGAGTAGCCCGTGAGGGATGTTTCCCCTCTCTGAGTCTTTGGGTTGCTGGAACTGGATGGCCGTCCTCACCTTTCTCCATCCTGATGTCCCAATAATCCCAGGAAAGAGAGTCAAAGGGCAAGTGGTCGGAGCCCAAGGGCTCAGACCTGATGGGGCAGTCCTTGGTCCTCTAGAGCCTGCCTCCTGCAGTGGGTGGTAGGGCAGGACAAGGAGCGAAGAGAGCAGCTGAAAAGCCACCATTGAGTGAGCTTTCAGAGGCTGCTGGCATCTTTGGTTGGAACACTGTTCTGAGATCTTCGCCTCTCTCAGGCTCCTGGGCATCATGCATTGTTTCAAGCAGCCTAAGCACTTCCAGAGCCTGATGCTTCTGCATTGGCCCTTGAGCTACCTTGCCTTATGTGAGTACTGATCTAAGAGTGCACGGCAAGAAGTCAGAGTGAGAGGCCAGGGCCAGATCTGGGGCAATTTTTAAGCTCATGGAAAGTTTCATCTCTGGCCTTTCATCATCTCGGATGGTACTCTAGAGAAACGCCAAGGAATCTCAAGTTCCTTGAGTGCCCAGGAGAAGGAAGAGATAGAGTCCCAGGGAATAGTGAGGACAGGCAGAGGGTAGAACAGAGTCGTGATGGATATGAGTCGATCTAGCTAATTTCAGCCACTTCCTAACCCTCATTATCTAGAGAGGGGAAATGAGGCCCAGACAATAGGCATGATGGGTCCATGATCATAAGGGAACACGGGGAATGGGACAGAGGAAGCATTAGCGTCAGAGGCTTAGAGAAGTATAGCCTGTGTTTGAACCATGGAGTTTTCCCTTCTGGGAGGGTGGGGCTGGTAGCATGAGGGGAGACAGAGATAATGAAAGTAAAGGTAAAGGGCAAGAGGGCTAAAATGGTGGATGGAAAATAGTAGAGGGATGCAGGTGTTATGTGCATGGGATGTGGGGAGCTATGGGTAGTATATGGGCAAGGGAGGGTGGGCTAGTGGTTTAACAAGGATAGGGAGGGAGGCAAGAGGGACAAGCTAGTGACAAACAGGGAGCAGGAGTTGAGGCATGGTAGGTAGGCAGGGAGACAGGCGGACAGGGATGACAGATAAGCAGAGAAATAGGATTGGAGTGTGGCAGCTGATAGAGGAAACGTTGGAAGGATGAGTAGACATGGAGAGTGGTTGGGAAGGACCTGCAATGTGCAGAAGGCCAGGACCAGAGTCTTGGGCAGTTTGGAGGGCTCGTAATAAGGCTGGACAAGGTCAAGTTCTGCTGGCAGCACAAATTTGGTCTGACCTGCTTCCCCATCAGTTTGGATCATACAGCCATTGATCGTTTACCTGCTGTTTACATCCTTGTGGCCACTACCAGCACTTTACTTTGCCTGGTATTTCCTGGACTGGAAGACCCCAGAACAAGGTAAGACTCATGGACCTAGAAAGAACAGGACCTAAGAATGTTCCATCTTAACCTGTAACTAGGGAGTCCCACTCACCATGCCACAGGACTCTCCAAGCTCTTAGAGCCACAGGGGCTGGGCCAGTCAGGACCTCCTTGGGGTTGCTTCCTTTTCTACCTCTCTAGCAGAGCCACGGTCGCTCCGCGCTACTAAGGAGGCCTTGGGTGGGAGGAAGGGGTGCGGTTCACACACGCTGACACTAGCTCTTACTGATATTTTTGTCTCAGGTGGTAGGCGTTCCACCTGGGTAAGGAACTGGGGTGTCTGGACCTATATCAGGGACTATTTCCCCATCAAGGTAAGTGTCCCTTCTTTAGCGTCCCTCACAGTACCCCAAATATTAGGCATTTATGCCAAATGACTGGAGTTTTCCATAAGGAAAATGAGCATCCCAGAGAGTGTCAGTGCAGGCTAAACATACTTCAGGATCCAACATTGCTACTGGGCAGTCGTTACTCTGCTAGGACCCTTTGGATGCCCTTGGCATGACTCACCAGATGACGGAGGCAGAGGTGCAAATACAGTTCAGTTTGCTTTAACAAACATTGGAAGCCTACTCTGTGCCACATGTTTGGGGTACACAGAAGCAAGAAGGATACCATCCTCTGTCATCCAAGAGCTCACATGTAATGTACATATTTACAGTTTGGTACAAGTTATACAAGTAGCTCAGATGAGGGGTAAGGAAAGGCTGCACAGACATACATGGTGATATCCAGGCAGGGCTTTCACAGTTCCATAAAAGTTCCTTAGATGGGCACTAGAAGGGGGTGGGAGGAGAAATACCACGAAAAAGTTCTAGAAAGCAACTGCTATGCTGATCCTCTTGGCACACTGCAGAGTAGATGACATACACGGCCCCGATTTTGCGAGCAGAGGTTGCTGAACTTTTTCACAGAATGGCACTCCCAAAAATGATAGCGTGCATAAAGTGCACTGCCATAAATGGCCGAGACTACCTGCAGCCACAGTTCAGCTGCCTCAAGTCTGCCCTGGTTTCCCAGGGGCCGAGGAGGCTGATATCCCAGCCCCCTGAGGCCCACTCAGGCTTTGGAGAGCACCCTGCTCCCTGAAGTGTCCTCCCCCTTGCTTCCCGTGTGACCTTCTTTTACCACCCGTGCTGTTTCTCTCCATGGCTGCAGATCGTGAAGACTAAGGACCTGCCACCCGAGCACAACTACCTCATGGGGGTCCACCCCCATGGCCTCTTGACCTTTGGCGCCTTCTGCAACTTCTGCACTGAGGCCACAGGCTTCTCGAAGATCTTCCCCGGCATCACTCCCCACCTGGCCACGCTGTCCTGGTTCTTTAAGATCCCCTTGATTAGGGACTACCTCATGGCCAAAGGTGCTTCTGGCCGCATTTATGGGAGCTTCTGGAGATGCACCTTTTTAAGCCCCATCCCCTACCTTTCACCCACCTCTCAACCTCCCTCTCCCTGTCATCCTAGTATAGTCGTTAGTAGTCTATGTTCTGGGCAAAACTGCCCAGGTTTGAATCCTGCCTCTGCCACTTAACGTGTGGTCTTGGGCAAGCTACTGGACTTCTGTGGTCTCAGTTCCCTCACCAGTAAAGTGGTGCTGCTGGTAATAGTCTAACCTCAGGTGTGGTGTGATGACTACATGAGATAATACAACTCAAGTATTCATGCCAGTGCCTACCGCAGAGTATGTGCTCAATAAATAATACCTGTTGCCATTAATGGCAATCAATAAAAAGAAAAGGGTAGAATTATAGTTGGAATTCAGAAAGTCCTTCTGGTTGCTCCACTGAAAACCTTCTTCCTATAGATTTGACCCAGCGCCTCCCACAGAGTGGAGACACGCCTCCATGTGAAATGTGTTTTCCCGCAGCCTTCCCTTTTCCACACTCTGTCCCATCTCACTGACTCTCCTCCTGGGATCCATGGGAACAGAGGGCACAACAAACAAGCCACTGAGGAGTGGAGCAGAGGAGGGCGTTGCCTCAGCCTTTTCTCCTCTCCTGATCACTTGTTCCTGTCTCTGCCCCTTGATTCTCTTTAGGTGTGTGCTCTGTGAGTCAGCCAGCCATCGACTATCTGCTGAGCCACGGAACCGGCAACCTCGTGGGCATTGTAGTGGGAGGGGTGGGAGAGGCCCTGCAAAGTGTGCCCAACACCACCACCCTCATCCTCCAGAAGCGCAAGGGCTTTGTGCGCTCAGCCCTCCAGCATGGGTAGGTGTTCCTCCCCTTCCCTGAGCCACGTGACCTGCTAGGTGATGCCAAGATGAATCAGACATGAGTCTTGCCCTCGTGGAACTTACTATTGAGTAGGGGAGATGGCCATAGACTTTCCAAAAGGTTTAAGTCATCTACTCTTTCTGAGCTAGCTGGACCAGTTCCCAGCAAGCCACACCAGAAACTCAGATTCATTATCAGGGGAATTGGTTAGAGCTGCCCTAGTATAGAGATGACTCGTACATTATCTCTATCTACATCAATGTCTCCATCTGCCTGTTAATGCTAAGTACAAGAGGCAGGTACAGTATGGCCAGTATGCATTAGGATTGAAGTCAGGGGCCTGGTTTTAAATCCTGGCTCCATGACTTGCCGTGCACTCTGGGCCAGGTTACTCAACCATTCTGAGCCTTCATATTTTCACCTTTATAATGTGGCTATTAATAATTATACCTACTTCATAGGGTTATTATAGGGTTTAAATGATTTCATGTACATAAAACACCTACCATGTGCCTGGCACACAGTAAGCAATGGCTAAACTTGAACCACTCTGAATGAGAGACAGAGATGAGATAAAGAGCAGGAGCCCAAGGCTGGAGCTGTGAGCTGCCCCATCAGGTTAGCAGGCCAGCTCACTTGACACAGGGACTATTGTCTTATTGCAGACTCACAAAAGAGGGAAGTATTTCTTCTAAGGACCTTTCCTGAGTGGCCTGTTCATCAGCTTGGAGCAAATGTAGCTGACATGTGTCAGAATGCTGAGAGATTGTTATTAGTAACTCACAAAGATTTGTATAAGAGAGATTGTGTTGTCTTTACTCTTCTCTCAAAGGAAGGCTTAAGGAGTCTGATTCTCTACCTAGGGCACTGTCAGGGTGGATTGCCATGACCCATGAGAAGGAAACAACTTGGCTCTAATCCCAAGACCCAAGAACAGAGTACCTTACGTGTGGTCCCTGTGGGCGAGGGGCATATCATATAGACACATCTGTGTAAAATCACCATCATCTCGGTGCTTCCTGCCAGTAGAAACAGTCAGCTATTCTCCTCCTTGACACCCCCTGGAAGCTTTTCTTTACATGATATGGGTCTCTGGGGATCTCTGCCCAAACTCTTCTCTCTTCCCTGCACCCCCATATCTTGCCCTTGTGATTCTGGCCCAGAGCTAGCACTCCAGCTGGCCTTGACAATTTCAGGACAAGAGACACTAAATGCAGGAGGCTTGTTTAATGTAAGAGGGAATATTTTATGCCACAGGGATTTCATAAGAAATGGCAGCCTGGCCATGAACAAAGTTTCTTCCTGGGTGGTTCCTTCTCTAACCTGTGTTTGGGAAATAAATCGGGGTTTTCCTACAGGGCTCATCTGGTCCCTACCTTCACTTTTGGAGAAACTGAGGCATATGATCAGGTGCTGTTCCATGAGGACAGCTGCATGTACAAGTTCCAGAGCTACTTCCGTCGCCTCCTCGGTTTCTATTTTTGCGTCCTCTATGGACGAGGCTTCCGCGAAGGCTCTACTGGACTCCTGCCATACCGGGTGCCTATCACCACTGTGGGTGAGTGCCGCTATCAGCACCAAGGCCACCTCAGTCCTCCCCACCATTCCCCCACCAAAGGAGAGGGCAGCAGGGGGGCGGGGAGCCAGGAGCTGATGTGGGATGGGAGAGGATCAGACCCAGGAAAGAGAAGGAGGTTACAGGAAGAGGGGATTCTAACACTTGCCCTTTCTCTTTTCCCATCTGTCCTGGCAGTCGGGGAGCCTCTGGCACTGCCCAAAATTGAAAAACCAAGCCAGGAGATGGTGGACCAATACCACACACTCTACATGGATGCCCTGTGCACACTGTTCGACCAGCACAAAGCCCAGTATGGCTTTTCAGGAACGCAAAAGCTGCTTTTCTTGTAACTGAATGGGCTGCGTGCCCAAGAGCAAGTGCCTTGGAGATGAGACTCATTTGCTGCTCACCAAAAGGCCGAAAGGGACATGGGGGGCTCTGTGTGCTAGGGGAGGCATTAGGCATTCCTTACTTGCTACAGAGCCCTTCTAGTTGTGGTCCTGAGGAGCTTCTCTCACTCATTCCTCAGATGGGACATCTGAGGGCCCCCAGGCCCAGACACAGGCACGCACCCTGCCCAGCTCCCTACTGGCTGTCCTCTCTGAGCCCAGGTCCTGGAGGACTCAGATAGCTCAGCAGCCTAAGGAGCCACCACTCTCACTCTTGTTGTTGTTGCCTTAATGCGTTTTTAAAACTGAGGCATATTTTGCATACCATAGATTTAACCCGTTTAAAGTGTAAAATTCAGTAGTATTTAGTATGTTCACAGAGTTGTGCTGCCACTACCACTATCTAATTTTAGAACATTTTTCAGGACCCCCCCAAAAAGAAACCTAGTTAACATTAGCTGTCATTCCCTATTCCCCATCTTCCCCAGGCCTGGAAACCACTAATCTACTTTCTGTCTCTTCAGAATTGCCGATTCTGGATATTTCATATAAATGTAATTGTACAACATGTGCTCTTCTATGACTGGCTTTTCTCTCTAGAATAACGTTTTCCAGGTCCATCCCTGTTGTAGCATGGATCAAGGCTTCATTCCTTTTAACGGCTGAATAATATTTCATTGTATGTATATACCATATTTTCTTATCGATTCACCAGTTAATGGACTTTGGCGTTGTTTCCACTTCTTGGCTATTATAAATAATGCTGCTATAAACATTCCTGTACAACTTTTTGTGTGGTGATCTCCTGTGTCTAAATGCAAAGGCTCACATTATGTCCACGCCACTAAGCTAACAAGCATGTCTTTCACATCGTTCAAAGGCATCTTACTCGGGATTCCTTTTCTATTGGCAGAGATCACTTCTCCTCATGATGGTCCTGTAACACCATAATCCAAAGGTACTAGCTACCTCCCTGAGAGTCTAGTATGGCAAATCCACTTTACATCTATATTTTAAATGCTTACTAAGTTTTTTTTAAAAGTTTTTCTTAATGCTGTATTATGAGAATTTTAAAAGAGTAAATAAAAACACAAATGTCTCTTTTTTATTAGTTTCAGGTATATAAAACAATGTAATAATTAGACATTTATACAAGGCAATCAACAAAAGACCTACTTAAAAACACGGCAAAGAACCAAATGTTCAAAGACCATTTAAAAACTCATACAACTCAATAGCAAAAATATAATAATAATAATTTGATTTAAAAATGGGGCAGAGAGGCTGGCTGAGTGGCACACTGGTTAAGAGTTGGCTTGGGACGCCAGCTCTGAGCAGCAGGACCCCCGTTCGGATCCTACATGAGGGCCAGTGATGCTGCGCCCTCTACAGCTAAGATGGTGAACAACAGCTCTACATGGAGCTGGGCTGCCGTGAGTGGTCGGTGACAGCGTAGGCGACAGCGTCGGCTGCAGTGGGGCTGGCCGGCAGCTGGCCTGAGCTTCCGTGAGCTGCTGTGAGCCTCCGTGAGCCGCCGTCCAATGGCCAGCAAGCAACTGCCTCACCCGGGAAGAGCGCAATGATAATACCAACATGGGCCAGTGAAGCGATGTCTCCTCCACAACTAGACTGAAGAACAAAAGGACAGCAACTTGTCTGTTTCCCTTCCCTGACTATCCAACGCTGTTCCCCTCTCCCAATTCCCCAATAAAATCTTTAAAATAAATAAATAAATAAAAATAAAAGTGGGGCAGAGGACCTGAATGGACATTTTTTTCCAAAGAAGACATACAAATGGCCAACAGGTACATGAAAAGATGCTCAACATCACTAATTATCAAGGAGACGTAAGTAAAAACCACAACGAGATACCACCTCACTCCTGTCAGAATGGCCATCATCAATAAATCAACAAACAAGTGCTGGCGAGGATGTGGAGAAAAGGGAACCCTCATGCACTGTTGATGGGATTGCAGATTGGTGCAGCCACGATGGAAAACAGTATGGAGGTATCTAAAAAAACTGGAAATGGAACTGCCTTACGACCCAGCAATTCCACTCCTAGGTATCTATCCAGAGAAATCCAAAATGCTAATTCGAAAAAATGTATGCACCCCTATGTTTACTGCAGCACTAGTCACAATAGCCAAGACATGGAAACAACTTAAGTGTCCATTGATAGATGAATGGAGAAAGGAGATGTGATATAAGTCAGACTGAGAAAGACAAAAGCTGTATGATCTCACTTATATGTGGAATAAAAAAAAAGCCAAAATCATAAAAACAGAGTATAGAATGGTGGTTGCCAGAGGCTAGGGGGTGGGGGGAAATGAAATGTCGGTAAAAGGGTACAAACTTCCAGTGACAAAACAAATCGTTTCTGAGGATCTAGTGTACAGCATGGTGATTATATAATAATTAACAATACTGTATTATACACTTGGAAATTGCTAAGAGCGTAAATCTTAAATATTCTCACCACAAAAAAAAAGATAACTATGTGAGGTGATGGAAGTGTTAATTAACCTTATTGTGGTAAACATTTTGCAGTATATAAGTATCAGATAACATGCTGCCCACCTTAAACTTACACAGTGTTGTACATCAGTAACATCTCAATAAAGCTGGGGGGAAAAACACTGTTTAAATTAGCCTTTTTTTCTCCTTTTTCTAACCCTTAAATATTGGGTTTTGGTAGGGTCCCATCCTCTTCTCTCATTTTTACAGTGTTTCAGATCTGAAATATTTATTTCTAACCCAGATTTCCCTCATAACTCATTTCCCCTGAAAGCAATTTATCCAATTTGCCAATATCTACCAAGCACTTTAACCTCAGCTTACCCAGTACCAGGTGAACAATCTTCCCTCTCCCAGCCTCACATTTTTCCACCATGTGTATCAATTTTAACACCTTGATATTAATGCAACCTCTTCTCTCCTCCACTATCACAACCTAGTCAAAGCCCTCACCAATTTCCTAAACTAGTGTTACTCCCTCTAGTAGAGTCTTCTCTAAATACTCCATCATACTACCACCAGGATGCTCTCCCTAAAGCTTAAGGCTAACATGTTAGTCCTCTGCTTAAAATCCTTTATTGCTCCTACAATGCTTCTACCAGCATATCCTAAATTATGTTCTCGGTACCATTAATGTTTCATAGATGTTAATGAATACTGCACAGGAAAAAAATGGTTCTGTGTTTAAATAACTATGGGAGATACTGGATCAAACCAAGTTATATAGACATATTTACTGAAATCTTTTCAGAGTCTTTACTACACTAATGGGCATTATAACTAATACTCCAAAGAGGGAGTATTTAGCATTTCCCAAACTTATCTGACAATGGAACCCTTGTTTCAAGCAGCACCTATTGCCATCTCATGGAACATTTAGGGTTCCTCTAAATATAGTCTTGGAAATCCTGGTTGTGGAAATGCAAGATAAAGTTCAGACTCCTTACCATGGCAGAGAAGGCTGCCAGTGATATAAGGAACGTGGTTGATTTGATTTGGGCACCTATCAACTTCTGAGAAGCCTTGGTAGAAGTCAATGGGGCTAACTGGATGGATCGAGGCCTTGTGGAGGATGACCAGAAGGTGACTGAATAAAAGGGGAATTGGATTTGAATTGTTCTCACCTCTTTGGGTTGTCCAGAAAAGGGAAATGAGAGCAGAATTTTTCCAGAAAAGACTCTGAAGGGCAACATGGGAACAAGGCTATACCTGAAAAAGTAAAAGAACAGATGGATTACTGTTTAGGACTTGCTTTCTTATTACCATCAGCCACTTGCTCCTTGTCAAAAATTCATAGCCCCATATCTTTTCTCCCCATCCTCACCCTTTCCCCACGTTTGTAGTCTGGTCTCCCTCTTCCTCCTCCTCCCCTGCGAATATGTTTGAGATACTATTCTAATACTTTAAGGTTTTGCTCCCTACTCTGGGTGTTACGGTGATTTTTATGTGGTGATCAACAAGGAAATTCATCAGTAGGACTTAATCATGGAAATGGGAGGGCAGGAAGGAACATTTCCAAAGAGTGGCCAGGATGCTGACCCTAGTGGACCAAACAGCCAGGGGTCCGTGTGAGGTCATCATGGAGGCAGAAAGAGAGCACAGTACTTGAGTGGTATCCAAAGGTTGCCCTCAGAGGGAAGAGCTGTACCTAGTCATAGTTTTTTGGACCCAGGCTATCAGCCAGGAAGTTCAATGCCTCCCCATACAGATCATAGCTGATTGGTCCATCATGAAGGCCAACAAAGGCCCTTCACACTCTGGCCCCTATTGATCTCTGGTCACTCCCTATCATGGTCTAAAATAGTACACTGGGCTACTGTTTTCTGAGCATTTTCACATTTCTTTGCCTTTGAAACATGTTCTCTCTACGCAGGAAAGCCCATTCAGCTTGCTTCTAGGCAAGTCTTTCCAGCTTGAGAAGTTCTTGAGAATGAAAACTATATCTTACTATTCACAACACTCCCAATGTTTAAAGCAGTGCTTGGCATGTGACAGCTACCTAATATATATTTCCAGGAAGGAAAGAAGGGGATTCATAGGGGATTTCATAGAAGAAAGGCACTAAAGAGATAACGTCAGAGCGTATGGGTCAAAAGCATGCTATTCAATGAAAGTCTAATAAACTAAATAAGATAACATAAAGCTAGATAAAAGACAAACTGAAAAAAAGAAGTTTGAGGAAAAAATTAAACAGAGCAGAACTTGGACAAACCATCTCACAGAACACCAACCTCAGACTAGGTTCTCTGACACCATGATAAAGTGAAACAAAACAAGTCCGTTTCATAATGTCTAAGTACAAACAAAATAAGGTTACTTTGTCACACACAAAATACCTGGCATCCCCTCTCACAAACAAAATGAATGACTGCTATTTCTTTCACAATTACAACTTTATCCTTGTTCTACTCTCTCTTCCCTATAAATAAGATTTACTGAGATGC